ATTTTGTTGTATTTCTTAGAAGTTCTTGATAATCAAATTATACATTGTCAGGATCTCCTCCATCTCAGTTTCCCTTACAATTTTTTAAACTTACATAGGAGCCGGGCGCGGTGGCTCACACCTGTAATGCTAGCACTTTGGGAGGCCAAGGCGGGTGGATAACGAGGTCAGGAAATCGAGACCATCCTGGCTAACATGGTGAAACCCCATCTCTACTAAAAATGCAAAAAATTAGCTGGATGTGGTGGCACGCACCTGTAATCCCAGCTACTCATGAGGCTGAGGGAGGAGAATCGCTTGAACCCAGGAGGCAGAGGTTTTAGTGAGCTGAAATGGTGCCACTGCACTCCAGCATGGGTGACAGAGACAGACTCCATCTCAAAAAAAAAAAAAAAAACTTACCTAGAAAAAATTCTAGCAACACAACAAAATAACTACAACTACAAACAGTGGTATCCTTTCTTTAATATTCTGTCTCTGTATATATAGTGCTCTTGTGCAACTTATATAAAGTCAATATACTGAATAATTAATCCATAGACTCTGTGTACATTTATGTAAAATACACATTTTTTAAGTCTTTTTTTTTTTTTTTTTTTTTTTTTTTTTTTTTTTGAGACGGAGTTTCGCTCTTGTTACCCAGGCTGGAGTGCAATGGCGCGATCTCGGCTCACCGCAACCTCCGCCTCCTGGGTTCAGGCAATTCTCCTGCCTCAGCCTCCCGAGTAGCTGGGACTACAGGCATGTGCCACCATGCCCAGCTAATTTTTGTATTTTAAGTAGAGACGGGGTTTCACCATGTTGACCAGGATGGTCTCGATCTCTTGACCTCGTGATCCACCCGCCTCAGCCTCCCAAAGTGCTGGGATTACAGGCGTGAGCCACCGCGCCCGGCCCACATTTTTTAAGTCTTAAGTTGCCCTCAAATAACTGAAAAATGTACTACTTTGAGATTGCAAGTACAAGCCTTGAGAACGTCAAATATTTCTCTTCAGTTCTTTATTTGTAGACCAAGCATAGAAAACTTGAAATTTATTTGGCCTGCAATTTTATTGGTTTTAATTTGAATTTGAATACCTACAAGTAAGAGTTCTACTCCCCCATTTGCAAATTTTTGTCTTGCCCAGAAAGCATTTGACTTTACAGTCCCTTTGGAGACTTAGTTACAACCCTTTGCTCCAAAGTTTTATATGTTAAAACATGAAGTTTTGGTGCTCTTTTGTTTTGTTGATTGCAAATGATCTGAAAATGTTTTTATTTCTCTTCTAATGATTGATAATGGGACCTCTACAAATTATACATATAGCATGCCCCATATGAATCAGTCACAGTTTCGTTTTATTGAATGTGGAAATGGGAAGTGACCTAACTAGAACTGATGTTATTAATTTTTTTCCTGGACAACTTAAACAAGAGTTTTTGTTCTACAGACACCAAATAGTTATGCAAACCACGAGTGAAAAAAGACGGAAAGTGGGAAATAACTTGCAACGTCTGATAGAGATGGTTGCTACACATGTCAGGTCTGTAGAGGTAAGTATGTGATGGCCTTTCCTATATTTTAAGAAAGGATTTTAAAACTCTCATGTATTTCTGCTTTCTTCCATAGAAATTAAATGATAAATTTTATTTCTATTTAAAGTATGATCTAGCAAAAATTTATCTGAAGAATCTTCTGTAGTGGTATGGCAGCGTGGTGCAGAGAAACACTTGGGCATTTTATTTTATTTTATTTTATTTTATTTATTTGGGATGGATTTTCACTCTTGTTGCCCAGGCTGGAATGCAGTGCATGGTCTCAGCTAACTACAACCTCTGCCTCCTGGGTTGAAGTGATTCTCTTATCAGCCTCCCTGGTAACTGGGATTACAGGAACCCACCACCACACCCGGCTAATTTTTGTATTTTTAGTAGAGATAGGGTTTCACCATGTTGGCCAGGCTGGTCTCAAACTCCTGACCTCAGGGGATCCACCCGCCTTGACCTCCCAAAGTGCTGGCATTACAGGTGCGAGCCACAACACCCAACCCACTTGTGCATTTCACAAAGTAATCTATTGTATTTGCATAAACAACATATGATGCTATTTATTACATCAACAGTGTATAATGTTGCTATGCCAGGCCATGTTCTACATACTGAAAACATTTAGTATATTTACATTAGTACATTTAGGGTTTCATTCAGCTTAAGATGAAAGGGCATACCTTAGGACAATTATTTTTCATTTCTGCAATTTCATATAAACACAAAATGAATTATTTCAGAAGCATGAGGTTTATTTACCTTATCCCACTCTTCACACAGCTAAAGTTCACCAATAAAACTATCCCTCCAACCTGCTGCACAGAGCCCTAAGAGTTAAGAGAAATTGCTGAACTATAAAATTCCTGGTTAATTTAGGTGATGATATATTTCCAGTTGAGTACGCTTTAAGAAAAAAAATTTACTTTTATCATATTAATAGACTTCCATTTATTGAAAACATGAGCATGTGATACCCTGCTACCCATCCTCTTTCATGAAAGACATTGAACTGCTGCTTTCTTGGTACCAATGGTCTTCACTTTTTAGTGTGAAGAACTAAGAAAAGCATCCTAGATACTATGTCAGAAAACGTGGGTTCTACCCACTTTCTATTTCAAGCACTAAGTGGTTTTAATAACTGCCTAATCCTTTTCGACCAGTGTTGTTCATCTCAACCATAGGACAAAAAATTAACTGAGTGAATATGTTCTCATTTTCCCAAAGATAACATATAAGAATTCTATTCTAGATGCATAAAAGTTTATTCATAGCATACAACTGATAGCTTAGGTTGACAAAGTCTGTTTATCATTTTACATCTTTGGTGAGTCTTTAGTTTCTTCATCTGTAAAATGAAGGGGTTGTGCTAAACACTTGTGAACATCCTTAGCACCTCTGACTTTCTTTTTTTTTTTTTTTGAGACAGAGTTTCACTCATGTTACCCAGGCTGGAGTGCAATGGCGCGATCTCGGCTCACCGCAACCTCCGCCTCCTGGGTTTAAGCAATTCTCCTGCCTCAGCCTCCTGAGTAGCTGGAATTACAGGCATGCGCCACCATGCCCAGCTAATTTTTTGTATTTTTAGTAGAGACTGGGTTTCACCATGTTGACCAGGATGGTCTCAATCTCTTGACCTCGTGATCCACCCGCCTCGGCCTCCCAAAGTGCTGGGATTACAGGCTTGAGCCACCGCGCCCGGCCCTGACTTTCTTTTTTTGTTTGTTTGTTTTTGTTTTGTTTTGTTTTTGAGACGGAGCCTCATTCTGTCTCCCAGGCTGGAGTGCAGTGGTGCGATCTTGGCTCACTGCAACTTCCGCCTCCCAGATTCAAGGGTTTCTCCTGCCTCAGCCCCCCAAGTAGCTGGGATTATAGGCATGTGCCTCCATGCCCAGCTAATATTTGTATTTTTAGTGGAGATGGGGTTTCACCATGTTGGCCCGGCTGGTCTCAAACTCCTGACCTCAAGCAATCTGCCGACCTCAGCCTTCCAAAGTGCTGGGATTACAGGCATGTGCTACCATGCCTGGCTGTGATTTTCTATTATCTGCAGCGCTATTGTCTGTCCTCTGTGTTAATCCAGTAGTAACTTATCACTAGAGATTTGTGTGAGGTAATCATAGCTATCAATGTTTTATTCAGTTAACATAAAGTTAGATTTGAAAACCTAATGGTAAGTTACTATTATTTTTTAGTTTCTAAACAGTTTGGTGTTATTGGGAGGATTAGACCAAATTCAGCAAATACTAAGCACTTACTTTGCACTATGCAAAATTTATGATTAATCAGTATAAAATGCTTAATAGCTTTCATAAAATATGAAAGAAGCATAGAAAGTCAAGCTTTCTATGATTGATCCCTGTGATTCAGAGGAACAGTATGGGTTGAACAGGATCAGGCAAAACAAGGAAATTTTAAAACGAGTAATGAAGTTGGACTGAAGAAAACAGGGGTTTGATCTAAAGGTATCTTTAGATGGAATATTTTTCTTGTGGGACAAAGTATTTATTTGAGCAGTTCCTGGTTGGAGCCTCATAAAGGTCTCACATGCGGCTTGATGTTCTAGACCAGGGGTCAGCAAACTACAACCTGCAGGCCAGATTGGGCCTACAGCCTGCTTTTGTAAATAAAGTTTTATTGGAACACAGCCACCTCATTTATTTTAGTATATCTTTGGCTGGTTTTGCACTACAGTGTCAAGATTGATCAATTGTTAAGGAAACCGTCTGGACTGCCAAGCCTAAAGTAGTTGGTTCTTTACAGAAAAAGTTTGCTAACTTCTGTTCTGGACCCCTAGTTTCCTGCAGGACACAAAATGACTTTTTTTGGGGGGGGGGATCTGTTTAGGCATACCAAGAATTATTGTAAAGCTGTAATAACTAACATGTTGTAGTATTGATGCAGAAAGACCAATCTCTGTGATTAAGAGTACAGACATAGATGCATGAGCATAGACATGAAACATATGTGAGAGAGGCAGTATTTCAGAATAGTGGGATAAAATGAATTGTTCAGGTAATGTGAAGTTGGATCCCTACCTTAAACTCTACACAGAAATCAGTTCCAGATGGATTCGGAAGTTAATGTGAGGCTAGCTTTTTTAACTTTTAGGAGAATTATAAGAGACTATCTTTATACTTTAGGGGTTGTAAAGGAGTTCTTAAAAAGTACAAACACAAAAGGCATAAAAAGTACAAACCACAAAAGAAATTATGTACAAATTTACCTTTATTAAAATTAAGACCTTCTCTACATAAAAGATATGGAAAGAGTGGAAAGACAAGCCACAAACTGATAGAAGATGTTTTTTAAAACACAGCTGGTAAAGGATTACCATCCCAATATATATGGCCTCTGAAAAATAAATAAGTGGACCAAAGACTTGAAGGGGCCCAAAAAACATGTGCATCTGATATGTATCAATAAAAATAACTTTTTGACTTGAATGAGAATTTCACAAAAGAACCAAGGTGGCCAATAAACATATGAAAATATATGCCATATTCCACACTTAAGAAATTGGCAAAAATTTAGTTTGATCATTACCAAATTCCAGCAAGAATGTGGAGAAATGGGAGTTCTAATTTACTGCTGGCAATTATGTAAATTGATAAAATAATTTTAGAAAATATTTGACAATCCCCAAAACCACCTTCCACTCTAGATATATTTGTCCTAAAGAAATGTTTACACTATATGCTAGGGGGCTGCGCTAGGTTGAATAGCGCCCCCAGCAAAAGTCACATCTGTCCTAAATTACAGAAGGTGACCTTATTTGCAAGTAGGATCTTTGCAAATGTAATTGGTTAAAACAAGATCATACTGGATTAGGATAGGCCCTCCATCTGATGACTTATATGAAGGCCATGCAGAGACAGGCAGATGTTGGAGTGAAGCAGCTACATGCTAAGGAACACCAAGGATTGCCAGGAGCCACCAGAGCTGGGAAGAGGCAAAGAAGGATTCTTCCTGAGAGCCTTCAGAGAGAGCATGGTCCTGCTGACATCTTGATTTCAAACTCTGGCCTCCAGAACTGTAAAAGAATACATTTCTGTTGGTTGTTGTTGTTGTTTTTGTTTTGTTTTTTTTCAGACAGAGTCTTGCTCTGTTGCCCAGGCTGGAGTGCAATGGTGTGATCTTGGCTTATTGCAACCTCCGCCTTCCCGATTCAAGCGATTCCCTGCCTCATCCTTCTGAGTAGCTGGGATTACAGGCACGTACCACCATACCCAAGCTAATTTTTGTATTTTTAGTAGAGATGAGGTTTCACCATGTTGGTCAGGCTGGTCTCATACTCCTGACCTCATGATCCGCCAGCCTCAGCCTCCCAAACTGCTGGGATTACAGGCATGAGCCACCGTGCCCGGCCCACATTTCTGTTATTTTAAGCCACCTAGTTTGTGGTAATTTGTTACAGTATCAGTATTTGAAATGGCAAAAAAACAAGAAGAAGAACAAATAATGTGGCATATTAGTTTCCCAATGCTAGTGTAACAAATTACCACCAAGCTAATGGCTTAAAGCAACACAGATTTATCATCTTAGGGTCCTTAAGGTCAGTCTAAAATGGGTCCAAAGGGCTGTAATCTTTCTGGGGCCTTTGCCAGCTTCTAGAGGCCACCTATAGTCCTTAGCTTGTAGCCCCTTCCTTCATCATCAAAGCCAGTGCATGGCATCTTCTCTCCTCTCTGCCCTCCGCTGCTGTCCTTAAATTTCTTCTCTGACTCTGACAGTGGTGTAAGGACCCACCTGGACAGTGCAGGATAATCTTCTTTTCTCAAGATCCTTAACTTAATCACATCTATAGTTTCTTTTGCCATGTAAGCTAACAGTTACAGGTTCCTTTCTGAAATTAGGGCATGGGTATCTTTGGAAAAGCTGTCACTCAGCCTACCACACCTGGGAACAAACAAAACTTAATTACCAGCAAAATAAGTAAATGTTGATATATTCATTCTAGAATACTATGCTGCAGTACATTGAATAAACTACAGCCATATGTAGTAACACGAATGAATTTTAAAATAGTAGATGAAAAAGTCATAGAACATTATATTTAATATCATTTGATAAATACGAAGGTTAAAACCAGGTACTACCAAGTCAATATATTATTTAGAGATACATTTATCTCTCTGTGTGTGTGATAAAGGTATAATATAAATAAAAGCAAAACACCATTCAGACAAGGGGTTATATCTTGGGGAGAAAAAAAGGATACAATTAGGAAAGGGCACAAAAAGGGCCTACGTGGTAAATAAAAAAAAATTATTTTTATTCCTGGAGTAATGTTTTTTTTTTTTTTTTTTATCTGGTGATAGGATCTTGCTGTCACCCAGGCTGGAGTGCAATGGTCCAGTCTTGGCTGCAACCTCCACCTCCAAGGGCAGATGAACCTCCTGCCACAGCCTCTTGCATAGTTGCAATTACAGGCATGCACCAACACACCTGGCTAATTTTTGTATTTTTAGTAGAGACAAGGTTTTGCCATGCTGGTCAGGGTGGTCTCAAACTCCTGACCTCAAGTGATCTGCTCATCTCAGCCTCACAAAGTTCTGGGATTACAGGAGTGAGCCACCACTCCCGGCCCTTTTTATTCTTAATTTAAAAATGTTATCCTCTTGTTTGTAAATTTTACAATTAAACATTTTAAAAGAAATTAATATTTTTACATTAACAATTGTTAATTGTCTTTACTAGAAACATCTTGAGGAGCAGATTGCTAAAGTTGATAGAGAATATAAAGAATGCATGTCAGAAGATCTCTTGGAAAATATTAAAGAGATTAGAGATAAGTATAAGAAGAAAGCGGCTCTAATTAAGGCTTCTGAAGAATGAAGATTAAAGGTTGATTATGTATATATATCCATAGTTAATAAAATTGTCTTAATAAAGTTGTTTTTCTCTCTCATTTCTTCAGACGGTAAGAAGACAAGGTAGCATAATTTAAACCAGGAGTTGACAAAATACAGGTTGAGGATCCCTTACCCAAAATGCTTGGGACCAGAAGTGTTTCGGAATCAGGTTTTTTGGGGTTTGGGTATTATTTTTAGATTTTGGGATTTTTGTGATATCTTGAATACAGGACTCCTGTCTAAACATGAGATTTATTTATACACCTTATACACATAGGCTGAAGGTTATTTTATACAATTTTTTTTTCTTTCGAGACAATGTCTTGCTCTGTCACCCAGGCTGGAGTGCAGTGGCGCAATCTCGGCTCACTGCAACCTATGCCTCCTGGGTTCAAGCAATTCTCCTGCCTCAGCCTCCCAAATAACTAGGATCACAGGCACCAACCACCACACCCAGCTAATTTTTGTATTTTTACTAGAGACAGGGTTTCACATGTTGGCCAGGCAGTTAACGAAATCCTGACCTCATGATTCAACCACCTCAGCCTCCCAAAGTGCTGGAATTACAGGCGTGAGCCACTGTGCCCCGCCTGTTTTATACAATATTTTTAGTAATTTTGAGCATGAAGCAGTTTTTACTGCAATCCTTCATGAGGTCAAGTGTGGCATTTTCCACTTGCATTATGCCAGTGCCCAAAAAGTCAGATTTTAGGCTGTTTGTGGTGGCTCATGCCTGTAATCCAAGCACTTCGGGAGGCCAAGATGTAAGACTTTACAAAAGTTTAAAAATAAACCAGGCATTGTGGCACATACCTGCAGTCCAAGCTACTCAGGAGACTGAGGCAGGAGTATACCTTGAGCCCAGGAATCTGGGACTGCCATGAGTTGTGTTCATGCCACTGCATACCAGCCTTAGTGGCAGAGCAAGACCCTGTCTCAAAAAAGAAAGTTTCAGATTTTGAAGCATTTTGGATTAGAGATGTTCTCAACCTACATCATGAGGGCCAGATCCAGTTACAACCATGTATTTACATATTGTCTGTGACTAGTTTTGTACTACAATGGCAGAGTTGAGTGTATTCCAAAGAGACCATGTGGCCTGCAAAGCCAGAAATGTTTATTGTCTGGCCCTTTACAGAAAGTTTGCTGATCCCTTGTACAAATTATGCAAAGGTTGGTACTAACTAAACATTTTAATGACACGAGGCGTATAGTACAACCCACTCCTTATCCAGAGCCCTGTGGTTTTCCAAGAAGATGATGTTCTTTCTGGCCCCATGCCATCTTTACTCTGAAACAGAAAAATATAGAATGTGAGAAACAGAAGAAATAATAAAAGTTCAACCCCCTCATTTTAGAGATGAGAGTTTATTCTGGAGCTCTGATTTCCCTCAGATTACACCTCTTAGAAGTGCTAGAAATCACAATGGAACTTACTTGAGCTGGTGCACAATCCTGGGTACAGCCACAGGAGCCATGAAAAATGAATATTCAGGATGTCAGAATGTGAGGTTTAAATTTCTATTCTTTCAAATGTGAGTCAGAATGAAGAACATAAAAAGAAATACACAATAAAAACTTGGAATAGAATTACAGCAAGGCTTTAGGAAGGGAGGTGCATTTAGTCAGAATGGAATGAAAAAAAGGTTATAGTTTAGGGATAACTAATGACAAGATTAGTAGTTACCAGTGTATTGAAAAATCTTGACTTCTGACCCCATCTAATAGAACTTTCTTCAATAGAAATGTTCTATCTGCACTATCCAGTGTGGTATCAGCAATGTGTAGTTACCATGCACTCAAGTGACCCATGAAGAAAGAGTCTCAAAGATCTGAGTAGACATTTCTCAAGAGATACAAATGGCCAATGAGTATGTGAAAAAATGCTTAACATCACTATTCAGATAAATGCAAATCAAAACCACCATGACATACCTCATGCCAGTTAAAATGGCTTTCATCAAAAAGGAAAACAGGGATCCTGGCGAGGATGTGGACAAAGGAGAACTCACATCCACTGTTGGTGGGAATGTAAATTAGTACAGCCACCATGGAAAACTGTGGAAGTTCCTCAAAAAATTAAAAATAAATCTACCATATGATCCAGCAATCCCACTGCTGGGCGTATATCCAAAAGAAACCAATATATTGAAGAGAGATCTGCACTCCCTTGTTTATTGCAGCACTGCTCACAATAGCCAAAATACGGAATCAACCCAAGTGCCCATCAATGGATGAATGGATAAAGAAAATGTGATACATATACACAATGGAATACTATTCCACCATTAAAAAAATGAAATCCTATCATTCATTTGCAGCAACATGGATGGAACTGAAGGTAATTGTTAAGTGAAGCCAAGCACAGAAACACAGATATCATATGTTCTCATTCATATGTAGGAGCTAGGAATGTGGATCTCATAAAGATTGGTGGTTACCAGAGGAAGGGATGGGTACAGGGAGGGAGGGATGAAGAGAGGTTGATAAATGGGTACAAAAAATATGGGTAGATAGAAAAAATAGATCTAGTGTTCAATAAATCAGTAGCGTGACTATAATCAACAAACATCTATTGTGTATTTCAAAATAGTAGAGAATAATGAAAATGTTTCCAGCATAAAAGATAAATGTTTAAGGTGATGGATGTTCCATTTACTCTGATTTGGTTATTATACATTATATGAATTTATTAATATCAAAATATCACATGTACCCCAGGAATATGCACATCTATTATATATTAATAAAAAATACAATTGCCACAGTCATGAAAAATGAAATCACATTCTTCGCAACAATATGGATGGAACTGGAGGCCATTATCCTAAGTAAACTGACTTAGAAATAGGAAACCACATACCATATTTTCTCATTTGTAATTGGGAGTTAAACATGTACACATGGACATAAAGATAGAAATAATAGACACTGGGGATTCCAAAAGCAGGGGAAGGTGGAAAGGAGCCTAGGGTTGAAAAATTACCTATTTTACCTAGAAGCCCCAGCAATATGCAATGTACCCATGTACATACAAGTAACCCCTGACTCTAAAATAAAAATTGTTTAAAAAAAAAAGACTCAAGATCTTTGCCACTCAAAACCTGGTATGGAAACAGCAGCATCACCATCACCTGTGAGCTTGTTAGAAATGCAGACTCTGCTTTAAGAGACAGAGTCTCGCTCTGTCACCCTGTCTGGAGTTCAGTGGTGTGATCATAGCTCATCACAGTTTCAAACTCCTGGCCTCAAGCAATTCCACCACCTCAGCCTCCCAAGTAGCTAGGAGATGCAAATTTTTTTTAAGACAGAGTCTCTGTCACCCAGGTTAGGGTGCAGTGGCACCATGTTGGCTCACTGCAACGTCTGCCTCCCAGGTTCAAGCAATTATTGTGCCTCAGCCTCCCTATTAGCTGGGATTACAGGCATGTGCCACCACACCCAGCTAATCTTTTCTGTATTTTTAGTAGCGATGGGGTTTCGCCATGTTGGCCAGGCTGGTCTCGAACTCCTGGCCTCAAGTGATCTGCCCTCCTCAGCCTCCCAAAGTGCAGGGATTACAGGCATGAGCCACCACACCTGGCCTAATTTTTTTTTTTTTTTTTTAGAGACAGGGCCTTACTCTGTTTTCCAGACCTATCACAAACTCCTGGAGTCAAGCAGTCCTCCCAACTTGGCCTCCCGATGCTCTAGGATTGCAGGCGTGAGCCACTGTGCCTGGTCCAGAAATGCATATTCTTTGATCCCACCCCAAACCTTCTGAATCAAAATCTGTACTTTTTATAGCGTATTAACATAAAATAAACTACATGTTTAAAGTTTTCATAAGTATTGGCATCTATATCTATAAAACCGTTATCAACACAATCAAGCTAATAAATATATCCATCACCATCAAGAGTTTCCTTATAGCCCTTTGCCATCCATTCTCTCACCCCTGACCCCACACCAATCTCCAGGCAAGAACTAATCAATCACCTTTCTGTTACTATAGACTAATTAGTAAATTGGTAACAGAAACATTAAATTGGTAACAAAGAAATT